GTGTTTCCTTTCTTCTATTCCGCCTTCTTCTGTTGGTGGCAGTGTTGCATATGGTCTGTAATTCAAATGTTGTGTAGTTTGGAAAACCTAATGATACCTCGTATAAACTGAAAAGCAGTGGATATTTCTTTTCTGCTCCGACATCGTGGTTACTCTGTTAAAAGTACAGACCTCCAGAATGCACCAAGTCGGGGACCCTAACCCTGTCGTCCATTCTTTTTTTTTTAAGGTAAAATAGAATGTATATATTTCTATATCTAGCCTATGTGTGCTGTTACTGAATTACGGTAGAGAATTGTGTGCATATATGGTGACAATTTGTAGAGCAACACACAAGTGTGTGTGTGTGTGTGTGTGTGTCAGGTTTGAGTGTGCGCATGTGTGTCAAAGAGAGGCAAGTGTGTTGTGTGGATTCTGTTGAAGTGCATAGTTTTTGAGTGGTTGTGTAGTTGTAAATGGTAAATGTATAGCGCCTTTCTAGCCTTCCGACCAATCAAAGCGCTTTAATACGACATGTCATTCACCCTTCCATACACTGATGGCACGTATGATACCATGCAAGGTGCCAAGCAGGACTAATTAACAGTCACGCAATATTCACACATGTAGGCACAGCTTACGGGATTAATTTGGTGTTAAGTGTCTTGTACCAAGGACACACCGACATGTGGACAGCCAAGGATCGAACCACCGATCTTCTGATTGAAGGATGACCCGCTCGTTAAGAGGCCTTATTGTCAATGATATTAGCCTTGTTGATGTGGGTGCAAAGCGTGTATAGTCTATTTGATTGCCTTATAAATATGATATCTTAATTCATCAGATCAAAATATGAACATATTATCTGATTCTTTGATAAAAATTGGTTGGCACAAATCTGTGCACATTGAAAAATACAGGAGAGAATGTAATTACAACTCCCAGGGTGCATTTTGGCAAGAAACATTCAATAACCAAGCTCAACATGTGTGCACCGCTAACGGCTGGTTGAAGCTAACAATTACGGAGTTGAAAAAAACTGACTACACAATCTGTAAACCAATTCACTTTTGGATTCATTTGGGATTAATTCAACAACTTTGGCGTTGTGTTTTGTTCACAAATTCAACGATGAAGCGTTCTGAGTTTGCGCTCTCTCTCTCTGCATTCGACCACCTCTTGCTGACTCCCTGTTTTAGCCATCCACCATGCCAAACTGACTTAGATTTGATTCCTCAAAAAGCTGAAATAATGAAAGCTGATGGCAGTAACATAAACCTATGAGACTACTGGTGAACTAATTGGAGAGTCCCTCAACCCTGTGCTCAGTAATATTTAGGATATCACTATAGGAACATTAATTTAATACAAAATGGGGAAAAATACTGACCAAAAGAAATGCCCTACAGACTAACATTGCCTTAGAGCCGCAGCGATGGCTTGGTTGTTAAATGTTAAAATCTGGTTAACAGCTCCTCAAGGCAGAATTATGCAGATTTGAATGACATTTTTACAGCCTGACACCCTTTAAGCTGCTGAAGAAAATCATACATCAGTCACTTCAGTGTCAAAACTGACCTCTCCATATCTTATAATCATGTAAAGCTCAATATCGACCCAATCTAACGTCAAACCCATACTGTATAGGTGCACCATGATCTGCGTTTAAGAAAGATGAAGAGGATTAGAAGCGGTGAAACATCGGCCCCAGAAGAGAAAGCTCCAGGTGGGGTTGTCGGAGCGTGGAGCTCCTTCCCACTGTACCTCCTTCAGAAGACATAACATGGCTGGGTGAACTCCCCTGTGCAGGGCCCTCATTCTCTCTGTGTCACATCCCATTTGTAATACTCACGTTAGTTGACTCGCACAACACAGAATCACTCGTTGTTTTGTTTCTTAGATTTTTCTCAGCTGCACCGAAGCTATGTCTCTGTGTAAAACACTACCACTTACTCTGTGTGTGTGTGTGTGTGAGTGTGTTTACATGTGGACGTCACAGAGATTAATGTTGAGTAAGCGCTATCCCTGCCATCTACAGTAATACTGCCCGTTTCTAGTCAGTATCACACTTTCCATTAGGATTTCATAAAGCATTATCACCGTGTGTGTCGCTCTCCATCTCTGCTGCTGTTACTCACCTGCTATTTCTCGGCTTTCCGTCTGAAAGAAGAAGCTTTCTTTCCTCTCATTCTCCTGTCACTTTTCCCTTTCGGCCCCCCCCACAAGCCGAACATTTTAAAACCTCTCCTAATTAAAACAGAAAGTCAATCCAAGCAGATGGCATGAGCTGGCCTAGGTAATTATTGCCAAGTGAACCATGGCCCCTGTAGACCTCAACTGAAATGAGTAGAAAGCTCAGTTGGATTGGGTAGAAGAAGCTCAGACTCTCGGAGAGAAGTCTGATCTAACCTGCAGAGGCCACGGACGGGATGAACGGGAGAATTTCAAGGTCTTTGTCAAGCCATCAAATGAAGTCTTCAACACATACTGCACTGCGTTAGATTCTCAACTCTGCCCTCATCTCTCTTGTTGTTCGTCTCATGGGAGTCAGATTAATTCATTAATTGGATACGAATTTTAATGTTGTATCTTCGAGGATTTGTAGAATCGTATGAATCTAATTATTCAGTTTCCTTTCAACTCTGTGTTATGCCTCCGGGTCTGTCATGTTTGTGTGTGTCTCTCTCTCTTACAGCGCCACACCTACTTACACGAGTGAAAAATAGGTTTAAAGAATATGCATTCCTTATGCGAATACATGTGTTCTTGTGTGTGTTGCAGGAAACATAATGTGAGCACACCACTAATGAGTTTATACACTTGAGGGAGGTGTTGGTTAAAAGGATGTCACAATCCTCGTTTGCCCCGTAATCATCTTTCTTCACCTTTAACAAAGGTCCACATTCCTGCTCGCTAATGAGGAAACAAGTGGTACTTAAGCTGCACTCCAGAAAACCTACGCGCTTTTATGTTCTAAGAAAAACAACAGGCAAAAATGTGTTCATTTTTTCGTGGTGAAAGGCTCCGAGGCGAGGGCTTTAGGGAAGGGAGAGCCCTGAAGGGACAAAGGCAGGAGGGAGAATGTTTGTCTGAGTAGTTTAATGGGGTCAGTTCATTACGTTTTGAAGAAAATGCGAGAAAGAATGTTAATTTACATGTGTGAAATGAAACGAGGGTTGCCGATTGTGGTTACAGGCTTAAAACACATTTACCACTTAAACACATGTCCTATTACAGCGACACTACCAGACATTTCATAATTTATAGCGTCAACAAGCCGGGATGAGCCGTTATCGGTTTGACTTTGGCACTCTGACACAGGACATAATTAAGAATGGGTTAATTAAACGAGATCTAGAATTAAAGGCAAGCAGTTTCTAATATGAGTGCTTCTTGGTGGCATGCTTTCCTAACAATCGTATCATAGATAACGCGTTAGTGACCCATACTGTGAGAATTACATTTCTGTGGGATATTATGCGCTTTGAAAGCCAGCCAGTAAGGAAGAAGGGTGACACAGGAGATGGACATGTTCCCTTCACTTTCCACGGGTTTACCACATTTACAGATGAGACGAGCTATATGCTGATAAAAAATATCAACGTATACGGTATTTGCCCATATAGGTAGAACAGGAAATTCAACACCTTAACATATACAGCAACCAAGTTAGGCCAGCAGAAATCCCCATCTCAAGGGAACGCAGCTTAAAAGCAATTATGACGTCGGATAGGTGTGAGGGTTTCTGGAGCTATTTAACCATTAATAAGTACTACTGATGAAGCATACTGGCAGCTCAATGGTAACTGTTCAACTCAATGCAGGGTGTGCATGTCAGTGTCACAAACGTTACGACATTTTGCTCTTCTATCATTAGTCCTTTCCTTTTTTCAAACCATTCCACCAAGACAGCAGTTAATAAGGAATGACCTGCATGTACATTTAAAGTTGTATCTTAAGTCTATGTTGTTGCAACCCGTCTTTTAAAGTTTAACTCCTCCACTATATTCAAACTAACACCGACACTTTGATGCTCTTTAATTCCAACGTCAAGAAAGAGCAGGAGTTGGAGAAGTGAGAGCAGAGTTAGGTTCGTGTCAACACAGCAAAGGCTCTTGAAAAACCACTGCCTGCTCTCTTCCCTTACAGCCCCTCAGCTGAGTTTAAGCTCCCTGCACATCTCTAAACGCTATATCTAATTTGCAGCATCAGAACCAAGATGGGGCCAGTTTAGGAACAGTGACAGTGACTGTAACAACACCAGTCCAGAGAGCTCAGCTTAGGGCCTTTAAGCCAGTGATTTATTAGACCGGACTGCAGGTCCTCTTGGACTAACAGGCCGAGGAAATTGAATGACTCTGACCTCTGTCTGCTTCTGGCTCACTGGCCGAGCTCGCAGCCTTGTTGCTGCAGGTGGAGAGTGTTTTTTTGAGTGTGTTACTCTTTGAACACAGTGGGTTAGCACGATTTGAGTAGCTACTGGGCCGTGACGTGAAAGTTTTGATCACTCAGTTTCCGTCTTGCTGCTTACACAGGTTTTTTCCTGGCAAGTTTTTTTAATTTCCAATTCTCCGCACGCTTGACATGTTTTTCAGCCTGTGGCCTTGGTTGTAGCTTTCCGTGGTGAACAGATTTGGGAGGTAAAAGGTTTCAAAGGCTCTCTGAGCTTGCGGTGTTCAGCAATCGGCATCCATTTTACTGCTTTGTGATGGAAAACCTGAAAAAGAGATTAGACTTTTGGAGACGAGCAGATGAAAGGGAGGGGAGGGGACGGGAGCTGGAGACGGCACAATGAATAAGACTCAAGAAAATGGGGAAAGTGGAGATAATTAACGAGAGGGTTGTCTAGGAGTAGTGAGAGAGAAGGTGAGCGTGATCTCTGGAAAGAGGGGTGATTACTGGCATTCAAATAATGTGACCAGTTTAATGACGGAGATTAAGATCTACTGCAGACTGACTGTGTCGTATTGTCTTCACACTTCCTGGTCTCACTATTATTCTCTGTCTGTGTCTCTGAGCAGCCAGGAAGACATGTGCCCCCGCAGAGTTCGCCTGCTTAAATGGCCAGTGTGTCCCGGGACGGTGGCGATGCGACGGGGAACCAGAGTGTCCTGATGGCTCTGATGAGGCAGAGGAGACCTGCAGTAAGTGAAACCATTCAGCTGCTCACATCAAGGACATCTTTTAAAGGATACTTCCAGTCTGTTTCAACTTGGGTCTTATTCCGAAGGCGTGACCATGGTTTTGATTTGAATTATACTCATTATAGTTGGAGTCTGCTGCGTAGTTTTAACTCTTCAGCTTAAGATGTCACAAGCTAAGTAAGATCTAAACTACTATATTTGGAGGTTAAACGTCAGTTATAATCCCTCTTTGCAGGGAGAAACTGTGCAGTGGTGGTAAGTGGTATGCACATTAGGTTTACAACGGGTGGTTTGGATAATAAACATACAGTTCCCCTTCACTTTTTCTTTTGAATATGTTTGGTTGAATCCTGTAAGACTGCTTGTGCGTCTTCTTTCTTATTTTACGTCTTTTTAGTGACGTCCCTGCGTTATCGGATCTTACAATCAACTTCATGTTATTATTGATAAAATAAACATGGACAAAACCATACAAATAAACAACAGGTTGCATGAAACTGGAATTTCAATTTGTCAGAATTGTTGTCGTGTTGCTTTTAACTTGACTGGAGGACCTAAGAGGCAGAGTGGGATGTACTGTTACAGTCGAAAAACCAAAACTATGGTGTCATTTTCCGTGTTGCATCTGGATATGCCACCACGCCTTCATCTCAGTCGTTTTAGAACAGATTTAATTAGACTCTCATAGAACCTGTATTCAGGTTGCTGATTTACCTTGTTATCTCGGCTCCAGCTGCCATTCAGCCACCTCCCCTGCCTCCACTCGCCCACACACTTCAATACTCAATGCTGTCTGATGGAGAGTGCATAGAAAGGCCTCGATTACCTCTCTGCCAAGCTGTTAGAGCCGAGGATCGCTGGCTGGCTCACTTGTGTAGCCTGTGCCAGTCTAGCGCACCCACACACAGGCTCTGATGGGGGTTACTGTAGGTGAGTTGACGTCTCCACAACCAAGCAGGGCCTCAAGTGTGGGAGGCTTGTACCAGTTACTAATTGTTTTCTTTCTTTCTTAAACGCTCATTTCGTTTTCTCCCATGGCTGCTTGCTTCTCTCTTGGGGTTACGGATATCAGATAGAGCTGAAAGCACTGATTTGATGAATATTGATGTCTTGGGGAGAAGCACAGAGTATCCACTCACTGGACTATAGCTCCAGAAATGTGTCACCCTGAACAGGCATTTCAACCCCCTACCAGGTCCTCATCAGGCAAACGATTCAGGGTTCAATGAAACACCACTCTGCCTCTATTTTTTTTTTTGTGTCTGTGCTATTTGATGCGGAATGCATGCTGGGATACGGGACTTGTCTGCCCACACAAGTTCACAAAAGTCACCTGCCAAAGCTGATACATGTCGATGGTAACTGTTTGTAACGTACACCAGTTGGATTCAAGAGAAGTACTTTCCAATAATGACGTAAATACTGATGTCTTGTGTTGAGGCAGGATAGTGGAGGTTGGTTACACAACATCTTCATCATCGTTCACCAGTTCCAAACTGAAATGTTGGGCCTACACGTCATTATAAAGCTTTTTAAACCAATTTTTTACGTTATTGTGGGAGGGAATTCAATTGCATCAAGCGGTGCGGGAAAGGAATCAAGAAAAGGCTGAACAAATCTTTCAGAGGATACTCACTCTTGTTTTGGTCCATTTTATTGGCTGTGCATGTGTGCGTCTGTTCAATGAATAATGTAGCAGCCGAGCAAAGCTTCTGATGTCACCCCCAAAAAGTTGAGTGCGAGGAGGGAGACATACAGGGACCTCTGAAGGATAACAATTTGTATTGGAAATCCAATTAAAGATAAATGAAGCAAGGATTCATCTCTTGGCTGCAGGATAAAGAGATAGAGATCTGGGCTGAGAAGAAAGCCATTTATATGGAAATCCCTTGTGTATTGACTCAATATTGTGATGTTAAACTTCTGAACACCAACACTGAACATTTTAGTTTGAGTTTTTATTTCTCTCTGTAAATAATATTCAGGATAGATTCTTGATTTTGACACAACTTGTCAGAAATATTGAATTTACACCGAGTATCTTAAGGTGTAGAGAGATATCTGTTATCTTTTTACTGTGCTGCAGGCACAGTGGAAACATTAAAAGAGGGAATGCTAGTGAGATCCACTTCATCACTCTGAGTGGATCCAAGTGTGCCATAATCACACTGTAGAGAAAAGAGACTCAAGGATGGACAAAAATGCACGCAGCATCATCTTCAACGGCAACCGACCTACTCGTGAATGGCTCTCTTATCATCTATCTCATTCGTCTCATTTCACTGATAAATTACCTGCCTGTACCTCGGTAAGATAACAAAGATATAATGAGAACTGTGCATACGTCAGGGAAAACCTCTTGACTTGCTGTATTTCTTTTATTTGACTGAAAAAGTAAAAAAACAACTTTGACATGAAGATTTAGGGTTTCAACCAGGAGAGACAAGTGATGATAAAGACTCTTTGGACTCAACGGGGAGATGTGTAATCGAGGGGTGTCTGCTCTGAGCAGCACACTGATGTTGGTGACGTATTAGGCTGATGAAATGATGAGTTGATGAATCTGTGAAGACCGGCGGTGGAAGACGCGTGTAACAGCAACATGAACCTACAGGGAGACAATCGTATTTAAAAAGTGACAGCACCAAGATGATAGGCTGAGAATGTTGCTGTGTCGCTGTGCTATTGGACAGAAGAGACCAGCTGATCAGGAGCAAGGGAATTATGAGGTAGCATGCGTAATAGGAGTGAATGGCAGTATATGAGAAGTAAACTACAGCCCTTAGCATGCAAAAGTATATTTTTCCTGACTGAACTTACACTAGAACGTCATTTTCAGTCTGAAATTCCACCAGGATCAGCATTTTGCTTAACGCCTCAATCCCATGCAACACTTCCCTTTATAGTTGAAAGCTCCCAAGCTTCACGTTTATCAATTAAACTTTGCAAGAGTGATGATTATTTTACCGTCTTAACAGTTGTGGGAAGGGCGGAATTTCACACAGACTGCATCCAATCTTTAACATGCTAGAGATATGAAATTTGCCATTATGTAAATAGCAGAGACTAGGGAGTGCACGCTCGTTTTACACGGGTTAATTACATATAACGCAGCGTACACCTTAATGCATCATGCTCCAGTTATGCTGAAGCCTGATAAGACAGGCTGTGCTCTCGCACGCAAACAACCCTCGTCTTGTTTCTCATTCTTTTTGCCCCCCAACTCCCCTGTACTTTCTGTCTATTTTAGTTCCACATGTGCACAAACATACAGTACACACACATTTGCACCCACACACCCAGCTAAGGCATCTTGGACTCGGTGCTGCAGACATCTGTGCCACAATCATTCTGGCTCGCTGAGTGGATTCCCAATTACACGCTGGAGTAGCATTACGCTGCTTTATTAAGAATTCAAATTCGGGCCACACGGAGCAAGTTACTCGCAAGCCCTGAAATATGAATGACTCTTTGGAGGAATGTGTTTTTGTGTTCGATTAATGTGTAATCATAGAGGAACTGGGCCACTGCATCCAGCTGTGCAGCAGCTTCTCTGCTCCCCGGCCAGAGCTGTGCCATTTCTCTGGGCTCTTAGTTGCCCGAGTCCCTTCGTTAAGGATTCAACAAGAGTGTTGGCTACTTGACACTTGCTGACTAAATTGCTGAGTTCAGCTCAGTTCTGCATGTCAGTTTGCCCTTTCTGCTTTTAAATTCACTTTGAGGAGTTGACAGGCGAAGAGAACTTGCAGTGTTTCATCTTTCTCAGGGAGTCTTTCATTATGTGAGGACATAACCCTGAACTGCTGCATATTTGGGAAATGTGGAAAAATATGGATTTTTTTTTTCTTTTTAAATCCGCCATATAGTATTTGCAATTTGGTCTTCTTAAGTGATATGTAATTTGTAGGGGATTATGGATTTTTTTTCTGAAAGGGGTTTTGATGAAAACCTTCTTCTATAAACCTCTTTGTAGATAATGAGCCCCAACCCCGTTGAGCTTTTTCTTGGAGAGTTAAGAATAAAGCTTCACTTTTCTTTTTTATTGACTTTATAATGGGAAAGGTGTTCTTGGTAAATATATTTGAACTGCACATACTGTGTGTGTGTGTGTGTGTGTGTGTGTGTGTGTGTGTGTGTGTGTGTCATCGTTTGGATTTCTTTTCATGTGGAGATGTGGGTTGTTACAGTAGGTGTTATGGGATCGACTGTTTGCAGGTAAGTGTACTGTATGTAGGCTGTTTATTTCGACATTGCTAATAAGAATAGCCAAACACACACACACTGAATGCATGGATGTACATTTGCTTTGTGGCTGTTATGCATAGATTTCCCATGCATAGTGTTGTTTTTTTTTCTGTTCACTCTTCTGTCTCTTTGTTGATAGTTGAAATTGTTGATGTGTCACAACAAAAGTAATTTTGCAAGTTACTATGTTGATGAACTCAGAACCACAGCTGATGAAAGTCTCATCGATTGTAGAGCCTGACATTGTTTGAATTTTGAGGCTAATAATTCACATTTTGGAGTTATTACACAAACACTTGATATAATCGAGTTCATAAGAGGGAACTGGTGCGCTTCATCCTGTTTCAGTTTCGCACTCTGCCTCAAACACACAGAATTGAAATAAAATAATGTAACTATTGATGACAGCAGCACTAACTGTCCAATGTCTTGGAAAATGTAGAAAAATAACAATTTCCAAAACCCTGCAGTGACATTTTATTGTCAATAACCCAGTTCACAGTCACAAGAGATATAAACAGCATGTAATCCTCACATTTGAGAAGCTGGAACAAGGTCATGTTTGGAATTTACTGAAACAATTTGTCTTTTTTCCAAATAGTTGATGATTCCTTTTGTCACTTTACGAATCGATTAATCGTCTGATGCCGATTGCAGCTCCAGATGACTGAAGTTTGAACAGTAACCTCGTAAAAATCAAATCATAAGTGATCACAATGAATTCACGAGAAGGATGGCTCAGTGCTTAACTCTGT